ACCCTGGTAGTTCCGCCAGTGCATATATGCAACAACACCTGAGGGTTTAATAACACTTTAAAGCATTTTATCACTGGCAGAACTACCAGGGTCGCAGCGGTCGCACTTGTGACCAGGACCAGGTGTTCCGCCAGTTCAGCGAGGTGAGGCCTGTCAGGGAACTCCAATTCCCAGCATGCAATGTGCAGAGTAGTGACAGTGTCTTGCACTGTAATTTTTTTTCCAACCAAAAATAATAAAATGATTTTATTGTTTTTGGTTGGCAAAAAAATTACAGTGCAAGACACTGTCACTACTCAGCACATATACAGCGATGAACAATCAGTGCCTACCTGGACCTGCTGCAGCTCTCCTCCAGAATCTCCTCACTCTGTGCTGTGAGCTGTGCTCCCGAACTCTGTGCCTCCAGGTTCCAGCTCAAGCCAGGACGTCCTACAGCGTGGGGTGTATCCCGCCGGGCCTGCTTGGCTGCTCCCTCCTCAGTTGCCTGCTGGGAATTGGAGTTCCCCGACAAGCGTCACGGCCGTCACCCCTTGACAGGCCACACCACCGCAGCGCTACATCTTCTATTCACCGCTGCCGCAAAAGACACTGCGGGAGGCAGCGGTGAAGATGGCGGCGGCGGCTCCGCGGGCAGCATTAGTAGCTGCAAGCGGTCGGGCCTCCTCCTCTCTCTGGGTCCCCCCCGAACTGGTGGAACACCTGGTCCCGGTCGCAAGTGCGACCACTGCGACCCTGGTAGTTCCGCCAGTGTGTCTGGGACATAGCAGCCAAAAATGTACACTGGCTGGACAGTATGTGAGCAACTTAAATATATATCAGATATAGAGACAAGGCAATAAAAATTAGTGTGGAGCATCTGAGGCACTGTAATGTTATAGCACTTGATCTCAGAATTTAATGATCAGATATTGAAGGGATCTCCAACTGTCTGTCTGGCAATGTTTATCTTTAATTGGCTTCAATCTTGTAATCAGTCAGTCAGCCTGTTTAAAGGGAGAAAAATAGTCACACTGTTGTTTGGTATCATCATTTTGCACCACACTGAACAAAGACCAGACAACGCAAAGGAGAGAATTGTCCCAGCAGATCAGAAAGAAAATTATACCCCAGCATGTCAAAGGTAAAGGCTCTAAATCCGTGGTTCTTAACTGCTGGGTCGTGACTCAAAAGTGGGTCACGACCCCATGTTCAGTGGGTCACCGTGTGCCTTCCACTGCGCTGGGTGAGAGGCTCCTCAATCAGTTCTCGCACATAGCAGCTATTCAAAATATGCTGCCCGTCACCAAGTATCAGCTTGAGTTGGGGTGGGCTGGGGGTATGGCCACGTTTGCGTACAGCTCCTTTGCGTGCCCTGTAGAGGTGCCTGGGCCGGAGTGACGTTACATTCTGGTTCACGACACCTCTAAAGGGCAGGCAAGTGAGCTTGATGGGAGATGCGAATAATGCATTGTACCATGAAATCACACCTACCGCGCGTTCTGGTGTGGGAGTTGCGTTGCATTGCCATTCATTTGAATGGCACCCCAAACGCACCTCCCCCCACAGTTCGATCGCCTGCACCGGAACACGCACTACTGTGACTTGGGTCACGACTTAATGACCAAGGACAAATGTGGATCCTGAGGTTACACAGGTTGAGAACCACTGCTCTAAACCATTTCCAAGAAGCTGTAACTACAGTTGTAAATAAGAACTTTAAGGTTCATTGGAGTGTAGCCAACTCCCTGCACTTGGCCACAAGAGGATTGAACAGAATGATAGCGCAAATGGTAGACAAAGATTCAAGGAAGAACTCCAAAGAGATGCAAGCTGAACTCAACTATCTGCCGCTTTTTGAAAATGTCGGAACTATTTGGCTAAAAGGAATTAAACTTTAAGGCCTATACATAAAGTATTATTCTACATAATGTAACATGGGCATCCTGGAAGCCATATTTGTTCTGCCTATTCGATCAGTATATAAGGTGAATTTGAGTTCATGGTTTCTGGACAAAGACTCTTAACATTAGCGATTCTCAGAGCCTTACCACATTCATTCATTGCCATACATTCCCAGGTTTGAGGTACACAATTTATACAACAATGACGAGATAAGGACTAACCATGGTTCCAGACTGTGTTAGACTGAGATTGATGGAATTGCCATGTCTCAAACTTATAGAACAAAAGAGACTACCATGATATTTTTTTCCTTTTTTCGTCTTTTTCGTCATCATAGGAAAAAGAGCTCACTATAAATGTTACCTTATATACAGTATTATTATTTGATGAGAATTGTATTAGCAATAATTTCAATTGTATTATTAGTATTGCATGACCGTGAGAGATTGCCTGGTCTAGGCTGGACTAGGCATGTGATAAGCCCACCACAGTTGTGAATGTCAGCTCTCCAAAATTTAATCATGGATGCGATGCTTATAGCGATGAAGCCAGCTCTTTGTCCTGACCCACAATTATTTTACTTTTTTAAATTCCTTCTATATACAGTTGAAGTGCACAGCTATGGGGGCCAGCTTTGCCCCCAGCTATGCGAATCTATTGATGGGGTATTGGGAAGAGTCGCACATTTGGCACAATAACCCCTTTGGGTCTAAACTGGTGTTGTATGCCAGATATATTGATGACATCATTATAATCTGGGATGGGAACAAAGAAGAACTACTATCATTTGTAGACTTCTGCAAAAATAATCCCTTCCATCTAGATTTTACATACATAGTGGATGATAAGACCTTGGTGTTCCTAGACCTTGAATTGACATTTGACCAGACAGGCACGGTAATCTCCAAAACCCATTTCAAACCCACTGCGGGAAACTCTTATTTACATGCTAAGAGTAACCATCATCCCTGATGGATTTGGAACGTTCCGGATGGCCAATTTTATTCATTTATAAACAATAATAAACCTTTCAACCTCCTTGTTGTTCTTGACAACACATCAGTTGACAATGGCTCAGGGCTAGCCATCATTCTAGTATTATATTATTTTATTATTTTATTTGTAAACAACTATTACTTATTCATAACAAGGTTCTAATTAATGCATCTATTCAGCACCACTAATGTTTCTATACATTTTCTCTGGTCTCAACCTCTCTGTATTTCTCTTTATCATTTATTTTTAATAATATTTCTCATAATCATGTGTTAATCTATAGATCGTATGTATATACATAGCATTATTTTTTAAACCTTTATTGCTAAGACATATCATGCCTGTAATTTATTCGCAATTAATTTATATATATTTACATATTTATATGCCCATTTGATATTGACATTAATTCCATATACATATACATGTCCTTTTTTTTTATATACCCCACACACACATTTTTTATATATTTTAAACATGCGTATAGTTTTTAATACATAAATATGTTTATTCGTACCATGGATTGGGTATATGCATATTCTATCTGGCCCTAATTGTGCCTTTTCACATAACTAAATATTCCTTGCCCTATAGAGCAGTTCCATCAGCTTTATTGTAAACATATATCTGGTCTGATATGGCTTGCATAGCCTTTATACCAGCTGAATACAAATTGTTTACATCTGTCATGGTATCTGTCATAAATCGCTTTTTGTACACAGCCCACCTCCTTCTCATAGTGCTCACTGTACAGCTGACATGCTGCACAATCGATATGCTACATAGCAGAACATGGTCCGGTTTTCTGTCCCGTGGATTGGACGATAACATGGGCCACTCCCTCCAGGCGAGCCCACGTATAGTCTCCTCGTGATTGGTCCAGCGCCAGGTAGGGCTGTTCTTATATTGGTCCATACTGGCTGAGTAGTCCTTTTTGGCGCTTTTCTGTGTTCATATCTATATTGTAGAGGACTGCAAGGCTGGGTCCTGGATGGGCGATATGTATCACCCCTATTTGGGTTGTGGTCCCTTTAAGGACAGCCGCAGGGTTAACCTTCCTGCCCCAGGAAGGGGTTTAAAGGTCGGCAACTCCCAAAGAGGAGTGTGGAAGTTGAGGAGGAAGTCATCAGCTGTAGCTGTGTGAGAGAAGGAGACACTTGCTGTATTGCTGTGCCTTGCTTGAAGGACTTATATTTCCTGGGAAGGGATTCCCTCACACTTGGGACTTTTCAAACAAGTCGGTGGCCTGGTAGGATTTTGGGGGGAACCCCACCCACTTTTTTTCCTACCAGACCTAAAGTGTCTGGTATGAATTGGGGGGGGAACCTCACGCTTTTATTTTTATTTTTTTTCATCTTCTGCAGACTGTAAAAAAAAAAAAAATTCTAATGTCACTTTGCTGCTAACGAAATTCCGTCCAATAAACGAAATTTCGACCAGACTACTGCTAATGAATTTCGTCCGAATCCGAATCAATTGCGGACCCGAATCCGAAAAACAACTACTGCTAACGAATTTTGTCTGAATCCGAATCCCGCAACGAATTCAATTGCGGATCCGAATCCGAAAAATGAAATATGCAAAATCCGAAGCAAAACAAAACTAAACAAATTTTTTGCTGGTGCACATGTCTATTTGGTAGGTCAATCATGCTTACATATAAAGCCTACTAATGTACCACCAGAAACATTTCTGCATTCTTATAGTATTGCAAAAAATGTGTTTTCAGATCATATAGGCCATGTTTTATTTCACAATATTTTTTTGTTTAAATGTGGCCTAGCAACTGACCATTAGGCATAAATTAACTGTCTTTTTTATCTCTTCACAGGAGACGTACTCACTCATCAGGATATGATGTACGGTATGTGCTGTTTTATGCAACAGGAGATTTTGGTTCTTTTAAAATTCAGTATATACTTATAGATTATAGATACTATAGATTTGTTATCACTGTGGCTCATTTATGAATTCATACACCCTTGTTGCAAAAGAATAATCTATTTGCTTTCTGTGGATCAACAATTCTTTGGTCAGGCATTATATTATTCCGGAATTCGTTCAGCTTATGGCACCAAGGTTTTATTTTGACTTTACTTTACTAGGGTATAGAGGAGCAGGAGTTACTATAGTTTTGCTGTACAGGGCTAGGGGATGGGTTCGGGCCAGGCTATACAGCTGTCAAAACGAATAGCAGAGAGGTGAGTCACTGCTACCTCTCTGCTATCTTCAGCTGTCAGATACGGGTTCGCTGTTTAGCGAACCCGTATCTGAATATAAAGGCTTCATTCTTCATTAATGAAAGAAAGAAGCTTTTACAAAAGCTTAAGTTTTTAATTAATGAATGCCTCAATACTGAGGCATTCATTAATTCATTACAGAGGCTGATATATGTACGTCTCCCGTCACGAAGGGGTTAAGATTACATAAAAGCAAAGCTGCCCTTTAACTACTGTGCCATAAGGGAAATCTTCACAGATACGCAAAAACTTAAAGTGACATTAAACCCTCAGATTTTTAACATAAAACAAGACTGTAATGTGTGCCTTACTGTAATCCATGGTTGTTTCCCTTCTCTTTGCTGCTCTTCCTTTTAAATCTGTATCTGTTCTCATGCTGAGCAGAACTTCTGTTTTGCAGCAGACTGCCTTGTCTCTGAAATGGATACATGGTGTCTGTGTGTAGGTTTGCAACCTGAGCCAGCACTACAGGAAGAGGCACTCAGCTGCAAAGGGAAGTTCTCCCCTAGCATGAGAAGACATGAGGATTTAAAAGGAAGAGCAGCAAAGAGAAGGGAAACAACCATGGATTACAGTAAGGCACACATTACAGTATTGTTTTATGTTAAAACGTCTGAGGGTTTAATGTCACTTTAAGAACACAGGTTTATTTTTTTTTAAATGAACCTTCCTTAACCACCTCAGGGTCGGAAAAATTTATTTTTTACACACATGTTAAAATCTGCATTTTTGGATAGAACATTAGTTTAAACCCACAAGCAATTATATATTTTCCTAAAGCAGACGTTTATGTTGCACAACATTGGCACAAATGTCAAATCAATTTTAGGAAAGAATACACTAAAATGAATTTTAGTGCACACAAACACAATGTATTACCCATTTTTTTGGGAAAAATATAAAAGATGGGGTGACCTTTACAGGCTGCCCATTTCAGTTGTACTTTAAAGTCCTGCTCCTGCTCTAAAAAAAACAATACCAAGATCACAGTATTATTTTTCCATATCTGCAGAAAATTTACTTAGATGTGATGGCTGTATTAGTTTTCTTTTATCACACTAAGACCTGATAAACTGCAGTATATAATTTTTTTGTTATTAGGTTAATTCTTTACTGAAAAAAATTATATTGGACTTGAAGTGTGCCCATTTATTGAGCAGCTAATTTTGGGTGTTGTATTTTCAAATACATATTAGATAATATGTCTTAATTTATCTGGTTCGTATAGGTTACTAGAAACTATTTGTGTGATGTTTCCCTTTTAGACTAATCTAAGTTTGTTGTTTTTTTCCAGTGTTTATTATTAATGTTTTGGAGTTTTTTTTCCTGTTTTTTGGTCTTAATTACATTGCTCCATACTGGTATCCTGTGACTTTGTGCATTATGTCTTAACTATACATATAGTTATTCATCTCACCGATTTACTTTTAGAACCCATGAGATCCAAGCATATGATGAGGTTGAGCAGGTCACCGTGGATGTGAAGTCATGGGAACAGAGTGCTGTGGCTGAGCAAGAAGAAGAGAAGCATGGGTGAGATACATTCTGTGATAGGTCTACTGTTTTCTATTGTTACCTTTTTGCCCTTCCTTTTTGCTAATGTTAAGAAAAAGGTCCTTATGTGGGGCCAGTTTATGCACCATGATGCAGGATCTCAATATCTATGAACTAGAATTATTTTCTGTTAGTATGAAATTTGAAAGCTAAAAGCCAATGATTGAGAATTACAGCCAGGAAGCCAGTCACTTTTTTCAATAATCGATTATAATCGATTATGTCGATTAGTTGTTGCAGCCCTAGTCACAGATATTTACTAATTACTGTGATTTGTTGGCTACAGAGCTAAAAAGGGTTTTCACGCTTGAATGCGCCATAGAAATCTGATGTCATGGGAATCATCCTCACAGCACCCTGCATTTACAGTACAATGATACAGAGGACAGGGCTGACATCATCACATTACCAATGCCCTCTGCATCATTTAGGGTTGTTCATGGAGAAGAGGCAAAAAGCAAGAGGACAAGGCTTTGAGAATAAATTACACAAATGGAAAATAATTAAATTATGATTAAATGATGAAAAAATCAAATTGAGTTTAAAAAAAAATACACTATTTTGTTGCACGGAGGTTCTGGAGACATTTTTAATTTATTTTGAGATTTGAAAAAGGCTATTAATTTTTATCAATTGTGATATTGGGGAGCTCACAGAGCACTCGCACAGCGGGTTTTTCAGTCCTTGACTCTTGCAGGGTCTCCTCACCTGCACACAGTGCGCTCTCATGCACAGAAATTGCAGTACACATAAATCTCTTTTGCAGGGACTCCGGTCTCTGCCCACGTTATATAACAGGCGCACTGCCCCTTTAATGTCAGTTCTTTCATTCAAACAGCCTCTGCAAGAGGTAGCGCTCGCTGCCCGCATTCGAACACCACTTGTGATTTTGGTGAGCTCACAGAGCACTCGCACAGCAGGTTTTTCAAAACACAGAGTCTTTATTTTCTTTCAAAACGGTAGATAATCACAAAATCCAACATAAATGGCTTGCTGTAGCATATAACAGATCAGGGCTCACCAATCCTCGAGTTGTCCCATACACTCACGGTGTCCCAGTCTTTTAATAAGTCTCTCTTGCAGCACTGCTGCTCCGGCCTCAATCTTCAGGGCCACTGTCTGGTTCCTCCAGACAAAGGCAATAACATGCCAATCCTCCCAATACGTTCACGAACCCGCAGCTCCCTGCTGCCCTGGCCTCCACACTGACTCCGGGGTGGAGCTCTCCTGACTCACAGGTGGGGCCCTGAACACATCCCAGCACACTCTTCATGAGGGATGTGCACAGGTTATTGACTGGCACAATTAGGTGCCAGTCACTACCAAAACATGGACCCAGAACTGGAGATTTCCTCCCACCCAGTGCTCTAATAAATCTCCTGGCTCCAGGATCCCAACTAGGATCCAGAAAACCTGGAAAGGACTGAAAAGGCAGTTCTTTCCTGGTACCAGTAATGTCTTCCTGGAGCCACTCAGCCCCTCTGGCTGAGAACCCTGGGTGACTTTGAGGCCACCTATCACCGTGGTAATGCCACGCAATGCCACATATCCCCCCCCCCCTTTGTTCCGATCCAGAGGAGCGGACACATGTGCCCAAACAGTCCCCCTGGATATGTTCCACCTTTTTCCGTCTATGCTTCCAGCAGCGACAGTCGTTTACTTTAAACAAAGTCACACCAGTCTTTCCCTCTACAAAGCTACCAGTTACCTCTATGCTACGAGACCCTAATGTCTCTATAATGACCCTCTCTGTACTGTTATCAGTCTGCTTGCAGGTAATTTTTGTGCAGTCTCTAAACACTTTGTCCATGACGGTCCAGTCAGTCAAGGTCATAAGGGTACAAGTCCCTCTACTGTCACCCTCATGATGACCTTTGTCAATATCAGTGTAAACTTGCTCCATTTCTATAAGAGCTGTCCTTTCCCTGGTACCACTCATTTCCTGGCAGTCCATTTCTATGTCGACCCCTTCAGTCTCTGCTGTCCTTTCCCTGATAATCTCGTCTCCTATAGTCTTTTGTGGGTCAACCCCAGAGCCCCTGTCAACAAGCAATTGGTCGTCACCCACTTCTTCCCTACCGTCCAGGTCTGCTCTTCTGTCATCAGTTCTGACAACTATCCCACCAGGATCTGACATACCATCCCAGTTATCCTCATTTCTTCCCATGTTGTCTCGGTTGGGCAGCACAATATCTGCGGAGTGCTCAGATACCACAGAGGAGTCATCTCCCGCAGTAACCTCACTGAACGTCAGTTCCAGTGGCAGCTGCTCTGACCACTGACCATCACTAGCCAGACCCTTATTATGAACCAGTTTATTCACAGCCTCAACGCTGGAAAGAGCACTGGCTGTAGAATAGTCATGAATAGTACTCGGCAAGGAACAATAGATTTTCTTATTGTCCCCACCATTGTCATCAGTACTGTCAACACCACTGCTACCGACTTCCTCTTGACAAGTGCTTGTGCCAAGCGTACCTGGTTTTTCGTCAGTGACATAACCACATTTTTTAAACGCTGTACGTTGTGCATGATCAGGCATAGGCACTGTTTCTTCTGCTGTCACACTTAGCTTTGACGATTGGTAGGCTAGCTGGTTACTGGCTTCGCTTGGGGCTGCCGCTCATGCCCTTTTTATCCCTTCTCCATCCAACCCTCCCCTTTCTCGCTTTGGCCACTCTGTCTCCCCTCTTGGGTCTCTCTGTCTTTCACCACTCTTTCTCTCTCCCTTTGTTTGCTTTCTAATTTTGCCTACGTCTTTTTTCTCCTTTTCTCTTCTATGAAAGTTATTTTTGGGGCACGTGTTAAGCATTCATAATTTTTTAGGGAAAATCGCCATCAGCACTACCAAGCTTTTGTTCCTCTACAGGTAAATGTAGCAGGGTTGTGACCTTTCTTGCGCCACCCCACTGGCTATCATAATATTTTGACATTCATGTTCCTCCTATCTCTTGATGCTGATCATCTATTTTACGGCATCTGTTCACTTGTTCTACATTGTATATTTTTCTTATGAACCAATGAAAAATGTTGCCATGAAAGTAGATTGCTGTCCCTGCATCACAGTTCATTTACTCCATTTACCCTATTTCACACTCTGATTATACAGTATGTCATAATGTTTTTCTTTAACCGGGTACTGGATGACTTTATTATTCTCTGGGCATGACTTTGAACTTTGGCCTGTGAACAAACACAACCAACTTGCCCTTTGATGATGGAAATGGTTTCTTGTGGGTTGAGAAAAGTGCAATCATTGCAATGATAAGCATTGTGAAAGATAAATGTTGTCTTAAATCATATGGTTTATTGTGAGAGCTTTTTGGATATACATGCTAATAAAAGATTATAAAGGATAAAGTAGTTTACAAGAAGACTGCTGCTTTGTAAAAAAATTGATTGAAAAAGTTCATTCAGCTTCCTTTAACAAATGAGCACAACACATTTCCAAGTTTTGTCAGTTGGCAAAACCTGATATTCTAAAAAGCAAAACAGGCCATACAAAAAAAAGTCTTCATCTAAATGGAATTCTTAAACCAGCTTTGTTGCACTACTCACCTTCAACCCAGAGATTTTCCCTGCATGTTCTCAGTCTGATGGTCAGCATCATTCAGCCCACCTGCTATAAACCTACATAGTCCTGGACCTACCCCAGCAGGTGACTGCACAGTTTCTCTTTCTAACAGCATGCTTAATATCAACACATGAACTGATTGGCTCCTTGTTTATTTATTTTTATTTGTCAACACGTGTTATTGGAGAACAGGGTCAGATACAAAAGTGCTGCATGCATCCCAGCAAGAAATTATTTTTACATAGACTTAGGACTTATTCAAATTTGCAAATGGGACCGGATCAAATGAATCTCAGGAATTCCTCCATGAGACTCATGCAATCTTTTGTGGGTGGGAGGTGCTGTACGAAACAATGGCAGCTCCCACCACCCACAGATGTTCACAGGCTGTACGAAGGAATGCACAGGCTGCAATTTAATTGCAGACAACCACACTTGTACGTAGCTTGAGTAAAGTGTTTTATTCTTACTAAAATAAAGTTCTACTTGATGATAAAGACATTGCATCATCTTACCTACTTATTCCAAAACACACACCAAAACCTGCCGCAGCAATTGTAGTCCCAATGATGTTTGAATCACCCCCAAACCTAGAGAGGAATCCACTGTAAAGGTCTCTGTGGAGACAAATATACACATGTATACAGTCTTCTAGTATTAGTATAACTTGTCAACCAGCAATGTTTTTGAACAACTGTACTAATGCACATACCTAATTGAAAGATCTGATGTAACTTTTTTAGCTTTGTCATCAAAGACCATCCTAATGCTACTGTAATAGAGTGGGTTTGGCTTTTTTCCCTCTCTGTCTCCATTTTTTTTTTTACAACTCTCAATTGCTGGTTTCCACCACAAGATAATCTGAGAAAGGTGGCATCCAGCTTGGATCAAAAAATCGAATTCCTCCTCAGAAAAGGTAAAAAACAATTTGTGAGACCAAGGCATGAGAAAACTTTTTGCCATGTCTTTACAATTTAATTCAGAATTTTCAGTGCTTTGTGAACTGGGAAGAAAACAGCAATTTGCTATACTGCTTTTCTATACTGACATTGGGGTTGGTGGGAGGAACCAGTGAATACTGCATGAGACACATTAGATCGACACTTTCAAAAGGAACCATTTAAAAAAACAAATTCATGTGGTGATTCTTCTTCAACTGAGCAGAAGTGGTATGTGTAAAATGTCTGCATTTCTAATAAGGGACTATGAAATGGGGTTGCATAAAAAGCTCATACTTGGCAAAAATATACTTCTCAGCCTTCTTTTTAGACTCTGACCATTTTTTTGCCATAGGTTATCTATCGTGAAAGTTTCTTCATCTGCTTTTAAGCCCTTCTTCCCAATCCTCAGCATTACAGATTGCTTTCCTAGTATATCTGGAGATTAAATATGGTATGCCTACTGCAGATAAAATGTGTGGTAAAGTCAAGAACATTTGCAACAACACTTGTTTTTCTACTCTACAGAGAAGCTTCTGGCTGTGTGGTAAGAGCATATTCAGGTGAAGAAACTGGAAGTCAACGCTCTGAAGAGGATGAAGAGGTACCAGTGACTGACATATACTTTGTAAGTTTATTGCAAAAGTATTAGGAATGATTTTTGGTAGAAAGATAAAGCAAGCAAATAACTAAACAGAATATAAGAATATAGCCAATAAAATATATAGATGTAACACATTAATTCTACATTTCTACAAATGTGTTGCAAACATTCCTGACATTTGGAAAAGTGTTCTAAATGTATTTCTGCAAAGGAGAATGGTAGACAAATGACTGAAACTTAAAAACATTATAGCACATAAATGACCAGATCAGATGAATTAGATGGGTTTTACATCTTAAAGTGGGAGAGCTTACAATATTTACAAGTATACACCTCATACCTTGCACATAGCAATACGCTTCATGTTCAGGTGACCCATGAGTTCAACCCAAACACAGCTTGTTCCCAATTTCCCAAACTGCAGTGTTATGGTGGGTCACCTGCAGATGGAATTATCCCCTTCACGACCCATGATGGAATTATCCCATCATTGGCTGTATGACACGTGTGACATGACACTTTAACCCCTTCACAACCCATGTTTCGGGCCACGCAGGGTCCCTTCCTCAGGGCGACATAGTGACCACCCAGTGTTGTGGTGGGTCACCTGCACTCCATACAGCGTCTCAACCTATTCCATTAAAGGTTGTGGTGGTCGTAGTGATAACATGGATAGCGCTGTGCTTCCCATAATCATGGAAAATGAAGATCACCAGCAGTCAACTTGAAGAGTGAATTGTTTCTGCTTTTATTAAATTAGATAATATCATTACTCAGATATACTAATTTATTCTACACAGCCTCACACTACAGTAACCAATTTTCTTACACTCTTACCTCTTTCGCAAGCTGTTCAGGGCTACATAATTATCCAACAAAATCACAAGCGCTAAATGTCGGCAACTTCAACACAATTACCCCTTTATATCGGTATCTAAATTACCTTATCTGGCGGGTTGCCTTATCTCATCCCTGCATGCGCTATATGAACCTAATTATCCTCTATTGTTTCTCAACCTATATGACTCCATGAAGACTTGGCATCAACATCAAATTTCGTAGTTCTTGTTCATCAGCGCTTTAAACCTTTTTACCAAAATGACTTTAATTTTTATCTGTTTTTCCAATCCCAATCCCTAATCCTATCTTGAGATCTATACAGCAGAAAATTCTCAATTTTATTTTGGGAATTTTTTTTTTACAGATCTACATACTTGGTAGGATTGGGTGTCCACAAAGTTTCTAAATGTTACCTAGCTACTCAAGTGGCTTCCCTGTCCCTACTGCTTGCTACTGACAACATTCCCCGGTGGGTCCTGTTAAACATAGTTAATAGTTCGCCAACTCATGTTATGTCATTACTGTGGCTGTTCTAGGTATTACACCCTTGTTCAGTATACCCTATACTCCAACACTCTTTAAAACTCTAGTACTCTGTCTGCTATTCTATTAACCTTATGTCCTCACATTTACCACTTGTACGCCCACTTTCTCCCCCAGCATATGATGATCCTTGTGTGTTTAGGTGGTAGAAGTCAAAGTGTCAGGTCATTGTTAGAGGGTGAGACTATTACATCTTTCCCATCCTTACAGAAACGATATAAGGCCCTGGCAGGTGAAACAGCCATATACATAGTCAGTGTCTGTAGGGGAGACCTGGAGTAGCTGGGAAAAATCCAAGTGTTTGCAGGGGCAGGGCCGGCCTTTGGGGTGTTCGAGCTGTGCGGCCGCACGGCGCCGTGGCTGCAAGGGCTGTGTTGGACGCCAGGTGTCTTGAGCGGAGTCCTGTCGGTTTCAGGATGACAGCGGCTCTGTGCGTGGCTGAGCGGAGGATCGGTAAATATCAGTGATATTTACCGATCCTCTGTGAGAAGGTATTGTGTACCCCCTCAATGTTCATAGTGCATAAACCCAATAAGAGCATTTGTTCATATTTAATTTACTTTCAGTTAGATTAAAAAATAAAGAAAAGGGTTTAGGTTTAGTGTTTTAGGTTTTATTTTTTTTGAGGGAGGTAATATTTTATGCGTTGGGGTGCCCACAACGGAAGTGGAAGCAGTGAGCTGAAACGCAGGAGACGAAACGAGCGGGAGCTCGTGTTTGTGTTTGTTTGCTGAGCGGGGAGTTGTGTGCGCTGGAGCCGAAGCGTTGCCAGGGGAACGGCGGGGACGCCAGGGAGAGCTTTGTGACTAAATGGAGTGAGACTGCGAGGGGGAGAGAAAGGGCAATAGCAGCCGGACACCTGTGAATGATTGATTGAGTGAGTAAAAAACGAGGACTGTGTGCTCTGCGTATAGGCTGTGGGAGGGGGTGTGCTGACCAGGGCTCCTATTACAGACACGGGAACATTAAGGCCTTGTTCACACCAAGCGCGTTCCAGGAGCAGAGCAGTTACAGACCAGATCAAAACTGCGTCCAATGTATTCCAATGGTATTTTGAGCTCTAGTTCACACCGCCGCGTTCAGTACCAGAGCATGTAAAAAAACTGCAGCAAGCCCTATTTTACCTGCTCTGGAACGCATGCAAACGCATCAAAAACGCATCAAAAACGCCCTGGAACGCACTAAAATCCCATTCTAAACTAAAAAAATATATATATTATTTTTTTTAACCAAAACCAGCAAGGAACGCGTCAAAATCGAGGCACAACCCACTGCACTGCGTGTGCAGAAACTAATGCAGATCTGGTCTGCATTTGGTGTGAACAAGGCCTAAAGCTTTGCTCTGTGTGTGGTGAGGGTGAAAGAGACTGATTACTGTGGGTGCTGTTTCTGTTCACCCACAGGTTAACAGGGGAGGATGTGATTTGAACAGATGTGCTGGGAACACTGAACTACCAGGGACTTGTGGACTGTGTTTAACTTTTGCAGGGGATGCTGTAAACCGCTGGGAACTTTGAAGTAGTGGTATTAGTCTGCTAGGTGCTGTGTATAATTCTACTGGCTGTGTTGTAGTATAAATCTGCTGGGGAATCACTGTGGTAATAACTGCGTTACTAATAACTGCTGCGCATTGGGGGTATTAATCTTCTGAGGAATTACTGTGGTAATAACTGCTGCGCATTGGGGGTATTATTCTGCTGGGGAATCACTGTGGTAATAACTGCGTTACTAATAACTGCTGCACATTGGGGGTATTAATCTTCTGCGGAATTACTGTGGTAATAATTGCTGCACATTGGGGGTATTAATCTTCTGAGGAATTACTGTGGTAATAACTGCTGCGCATAGGGAGTATTATTCTGCTGGGGAATCACTGTGGTAATAACTGCGTTACTAATAACTGCTGTGCATTGGGGGTATTAACCTGCTGGGGAATCCCTGTGGTAATAACTGCTGTGCATTGGGGATATTAGCCTTGTGAGGAATTACTGTGGTAATAACTGCGTTACTAATAACTTCTGCGCATTGGGGGTATTAACCTGCTGGGGAATCACTGTTTTAATAACTGCGTTACTAATAACTGCTGCGCATTGAGGGGAATCAATCTGCTGGGGAATCACTATTTAAATAACTGCTGCGCAATGGAGTTATTAATCTGCTGGGGAATCACTATTTTAATAACTGCTGCACATTGGGGGTATTAATCTGCCCTGGGAATCACTGTGGTAATAACTGCATTACTAATAAGTGGTAGTATTAATTTGCTGGGGATTTACTGAGGTTATTTTGAGTTATATCTGGTCCTGAATTAAATTAAAATAAATATATAAAAATAAATAAATAAAATGTCTTCCATGAGTGGCAATGCAACCCGGTGCACATCTTGCTTAATGTATGTGTTTCTTGAACATGCGTTCGAGGGCGAATACTGTTGTGCCAGATGTGAGCTGGTTGTTTGTTTGGAAGCCAAGATTCTGGATCTAAACAATAAACTAAATACCGTTAGAAGGCGGGATAGAGGGAAGAGTGCGAGAGAGGCCAGTCCTGAACTGATGCACCCCAATAAATATGCCAGGTTGCAGGATGTTGGGGATATTAGTTCAGGGGTGACACTGCTGGAGCAGGATGCCTCCGCAAGGGGAGTGACTGCTCCAGTAAGGATGGGAGCAGGATGGAGGACAGGAAAGATGGATTTTGGTGGTGGGGGACTCTATCATCAGACGGACAGACAGGGTAATCTGCCATCGGGACCGTGAGCGTCGAACAGTCTGTTGCTTAACGGGGCCTCGTGTTCAACACATTGCGGAACGGATGGACAGGTTACTGGATGGGGTTGGGCAATATAGAGGGCAGTAATACAAGGGGGGGACAGAGGGCTCACTCCAGTCAAACTAATTAGTAATGTCCAGATTGGTTGTGTTCCAACTGTAATAAGGTCAGGTAAAGTAAATAGTTGTGAAGCAGGTATGAGCAAAAACAAATCTCGTATCACTAGCGGTAAACTAAAATGTATGTACACAAATGCTAGAAGCCTAGCAAACAAATTAGAGGAGCTCGAACTTATGCTACTCGAAGAGGACTTTGATATAGTGGAAATAACAGAAACTTGGCTAGACAGCTCACCCCCGAACATAGAGGAAGAGGCTCACCTACATTCCCAAATAGAAATAGCTGGGAAGCAGGGAAATGTTGTTATAATGGGTGACTTCAATTATCCGGACATTGATTGGGCACATGGTACTGCTCACTCTATAAAGGCGGGCCGTTTTCTAAACTTGTTCCGGTAAAATTTCATGGATCAGATGGGTGATGTTCAAACCAGGATGAATGCTATACTAGACTTATTAATCTCTAATATCGCAGACCTAGTTGAGGACATAGAAATTAGGGATACATTGGGTAATAGTGATCACAGGATGATTACTTTTAATGGTGGGTACAGAAAAGAGAAATGTGTTGGTCTGACAAGAACACTAAATTTCAGAAAGGCAAACTTCGATAAGCTGCATTATCTAGTGTTTGACAACAAATGGGACAAATTATTTATAACATGGGACACTGACGAGAAGTGGGATTGTTTTAAGAATACTTTACATAACACTATTACCAAGTGCATACCATCGGGTAACAAAAATAAAAGA